AACAGATTTGGAAATTGAACGACTAAACTTGATTAGCGAAAAAGAAAGCCAACAAACAGAACTCAATCAAAGAAGCCTGCTATTAGACCAAAACACAGAAACTATACAAGAATTAAATCAAAAAATTGAGGAAAAAACGAACCAAATTACTAACTTGGAAAAAGAAAGAGGGACGAGAGATATCAAAATTTCTAGTTTACAAGCCGAAAAAGAAACTATCGAAAAAGACTGACAACGATTAAAAGACATTTACGAAAAAGAACAAACCTTTTGACAAAAATGCGGAACCAAAATTACCCAAGCGGGCGACTGAATTGGCGAAAAAACAGGCTTCACGGGCTTAAAAAGGGGAATTAGCAACGTAATTGGAATTGTCCTTATTTTCTGCTTCTTGTTTGGTTTTTCATGGTTATACCAAAAACTAATCAAACCCGCAATTAAAAACTTCAAAGGAGATGGCGAAAAGACATCTAAACCCAAGAACGAACCCGAACCAACTCCAACCACACCAACTAACCAAAATCAACCACCCATAATTATTATGCCACCACAACAACAAATCCCACCTGCTAACTATTATCAACCTTTACCACCACAACCGCCCGAAGCGAAAGTAATCGCCGCGGAACCGCCTCAAATCCAACCCGCAAAGGAAATTTCACTACCAAGCGAACCCACAACTACGGAAAATTTTTCGTTGATTGTGGAACCCCCAAACCAACCGCAAACAACTAATAACCCGACCGGAGAAAAAGAAAGAGAAATTTCTCCCCCCTCCGAAAAAGAACCCAAGCCAGACTGAGAAACTAATTCGCAGAAAATTATTCAAGTTAACCAAGAAGGAGGAAACCAGGACGAGCCTCGAACAAAGGCGAGAAAAAGTAATAAGAGAAAGCGAGAGAAAAATTAAGAAATGTTTAGAAGAAAATTTTTTATAAAATAAAAAAAGTTTGTATAACAAATAATAAAACAATAATATTATGACAATCAATTGAAACAAAATAATACTAGGCAGTGCCTTATTAGCCAGTTTGGTAATAGGAGTTCAAAGTGTTAGTCCTGCGGTGTGTGCGGCAATACGAGATGAAGCATTGGCGAAATGTGCAATGATAGGATGACAGCCAGCTGAAATAGTTTGCCAAGGGTTAGCGTGGAGTGCTTACTGAACATGTATGGGAGTTAGTTAAAAAATATTACCATGCGAGAAATTATAATTATCAAAACTAGCGAAAGCAGCAAGATTAGGAACTTTTTAAGCCAGGAGGGAGTAAATTACGAAATTTACCAAGAGCCTAGCAAAACCAGAGCCGAGAAATTACGAGAATATATTCGAGCCAAAGCCCAAGAAAATATTTTTGCGGATTATGACGAAGCTTTAAAAGATAACGAACTAGAAGCCGAAAAAAAATTATTAGAAGAAATGGACGACGAGGACGAATGAGAGGACTAGTAATGATTGGAGAAGTGAAAAGAGGTGAGGTATATTTATATCGAGTTAGTCGCAAAGAGACCGAAGGCACCGAAATAATGAAAACGCGATTAGGAGTTGTTTTTTCAACTAACGAGTTAAATCGTCGTAATAAGCGTTTTGTCATTATTCCTTTGACTAGTAAGAAAATAGACCGAGTTTACGATTATGAGGTTGCTACTGTGGTGAAAAATGTTCAAGGCAAAGCCTTAATTGACCAGATAAAAACCATTAACAAAAGTCGTTTATTAGAAAAG